AAAATGCCTCGCGCGGCTTGATATCGCGGTATCTTATACTCGACCGCCAGTCTCGCTCGCAATACTTCGGCCGGTCGCGGTATTTTCCGCCGATCGGCTTCTCGTGGGAGAAGATTTCCGATCGGCGGTCCCCGGCGACGGTCGGTACCTTTCGGCGAGACTGGCGGTTCTAACGGCAGCTGCTGTTCCTGCGAATTACTTTAACATGCGAGCAGGCGCCTCGCTCCTACTCTCGTTGGCACCACGCGGGAACGATGCATTTTAGGGGGCATCGTTACACCTTTTTTGTAGAGAATTTCATGCTCTACATTTTTTGTTTGAAAATTGTTGAGGCTTGAAGAAATTCTAGTAACAGACAGTCGTTATTTTTAAAAATATTATTACTGTGGAAAGAAATTGGTAAGTATGTGAATAAAATAAATGTATCTTTTTAATTTTAGTAATAAATTGATGTTTTGAGAATGTGTAAAATCTATTTCATAACCTCTAATTATTTTGGTTAAGTTAAAATATTAATACAAAAATTAATCCTCCTACACACAAGTTATAAGTTTTACATTATATTCTTTCATATATTAAAAGATTTGTGGATATACATTATGTGTGACGAAAATTTGCAATCTATCAGTGACATAGGATTCTCTCCTGAGACTCTTCAATGTAACATTGACATGCTACACAATAGATATTTACATCCAGGTAAAGAGATTAATTCTTTCAATATATAAATAAACACTTATTTTTTGAATGAGTATTTGATTAAAATTAATATTTACATGAGAGAAATTGTCTGTATATTATATATAAACATGTACTGATAACAAAAGAGATCTGTGATTCTCAAAAAATATGGAAAGTGAAGAAGAATCTATAAATGAAGCATTTGAACAAGATGAGAATGTAGACTATATTGAGATCAGTGGAGATGTTCAAGAATTTACTGAAGTACTCATTGGTGAAGTTCAAAAACGTCCTGCGTTATACGATATTAAATTATCAATCCAAAGCAGAAGTCGAGTAATCGTTAATAAAATATGGCGAGAGATTTTTGAAATCTTTGAAGGTGAATATAAAAAATATAATAAAAATGCATGAGTAAAAGTTATAAACAATTTGCACTAATATTACATTTATTTCAATTATACTTCATAATTTTTTTTCAGAAAATGTGTTTACTTGTATGTTAAAATTTTTATTTATTATAATTTTACATAGGCCAGGTACCAGTCGAAGAATTAAAGAGACGCTGGAAAGTTCAATGTGACAGATACATGAAGATTCGAAGTAATATGAAAAAAACATTACATAGTGGATCATCAGCAGCGGCCAAAAAACGTCTTAACTATAAATATTACGAACTAATGTCATTTTTAGATGATAGTATGGATCAACGAAAGTAAATATATCATATTTTGATTAATATAAAATAAAATTAAAGCTAAAAAATTAATGTTAAAAAAATGAGACGATCATTTTTATTATATTTTATAATTTATTTTAGACATGTGTCGAATATATGTCTTAGTAGAAAATCATAACCGCTTGCTTCATTATCTAATTTTAATATTTCACAATCAAATAACACTTCTCACGTTGAGGGTGCAAACCCATGCAGCGGAATAGCGTAACGCGGAACGAGAGCAGAATCAATAACGAGCATTCCGTGTTTCTAGAGAATCTCGTGATTGGTTCTACTCTCGTTCCGCGTTACGCTATTCCGCTGCATGGGTTTGCACCCTGACAGTCTACTTTCATCGTGTGCTACTCAGGTTCCACCTATACTTACACCACCTTCACCTGAATTTTTGCCGTCTACTACGGGTGCGTTCCACCTAACGTTCGCAATGCTCACTTCGCTCTTCGTGTCGTTCCACTTAACGCTCGCGATGTCTATTGGGCAGTGCTTGTGACCAACTTCAGACCGTTCAAATGAACGCTCGCAATGCTCGCGCTAAAGAGGTGGGTCAACGTGAGCGTTTAACCCACAATGCATTGCTTGATAATTTCGCGCGTCGTACCTAGGATGTAAGGTTAGGGGTTTTAGTCGTAAATACGGTTTGCTTAAATTGGTTATTGTCTCATAGAAAATTGTAATCCAGGTTAAAATGGAAAAGATTTCATTGCATGATAAGGATAATAATAAAGTATATGATTTAATGTTATCTCCTGAAGATGCACACCGTGCTACTACAGGTAAGATAAATAATTATTAATTAAACGATTGTTACGATAGCAAAAAATGTTACGATTATACTTCTTCAAATTAATTATTGCTTTAAAGAAAGTTTATTCATAATTAATTCTTCTTTATTGTATTTTTGGATTAGATCCGACAAGTTCTATTCTCTAATCATGCTTCTCACGGATAAAACACATCTTACAGTACCTTTTCGTAGATCTTTTCAAAGTCCTTTCAAGATCTATGAAAACACAGGACGATGTTTCACCCGCGCATATGCAGAAGCACTAGAAAACTGAACTTGTCGAATTTAACCCAAGAGTAGAGAAAGGTTAAAGTAATAGAGAAGGCTTAATAATTACAAGATTTTGTATTTTAATAATTATATATTTTATTGCTATAGTTTTTATTGTTATACTTTTATGTAATTTAATTTATGATAATCAATTTTTCTAATTTTGTGTAGATATTATCTTTGCTACTACTCTTTTAAATGCAACCATTAAGGATAAAACTATTATTGATCAAAATGAGGAAGTGTCGGAGGACTTAAATATATGTAATACACAGTCTGATTTAATGTCAGAAGCCTATGATATAAACAGTGATATTCAGTCGACACTGTCGACAGACAACAGTGATATTCAGTCGACAGACAACAGTGAAGAGAGTAAGTTTTAAATCTTTAAATGGTTATTTTCTTTAAGGATGTTCTGGCTATACAATCTCAGATAAAAGTGACTGAAATTGATGAAATTCTATGCTTTTATAAGTTAAAATATACATCATATCTTGCTCGTATCGTGTAAAGGACTTAAATAATGACAGTTAATATAATATTTGGCACTACAAATATTCATTTGTAGTGCCAAATATTATATTAACTGTCATTATTTAAGTTCTTTACACGATACGAGCATGATATATTTGTATATTTTACAAGTTTTGTGATTGTTGGCAAAAATTCTACTTTTCCATAAGAACTCATGTAAAATTAAAAGTTGAATAATTCGTGAACTAATTAGAGAATCGACGTCAGGTTTTGCACATGTGTTAAGATAATAAATAGAAATAATTTATTAAATTTTTAAGGTTTTGTCAATGCTAGAACATTAGCGCCAGTACATCCTTAATATCTCTTTTTATTTTAATATTGTGTTTATTTTTAATTTGGTTAATTATTTTTTAACGAGAGATGCTTAATTCTATATTATATGTATATAGATTCTCTATTTCGATGGCCAGATGCATCTGTGCTCCTCTTATTACGAACATATGAGGAGATGGAAGAAAAGTTTACTAATGGAAAATGTTCTCATAAAAAATGTTGGGAATTAATTTCTGAAGTATTGAAGAAAAAGGGATACAATGTTACAGGACCTCAGTGTGCCTCAAAATTTAGAAGTTTGAAAAAGACCTATAAATCGATTAAAGATCATAATTCAAAATCAGGAAATAATCGACGAACATGGCAGCATTTTGAGGTAACCTCTTTTTTACATGATCTCTCCTATAATTTATTATATTTAAAATTAACAAATTTAATTTGATATTAAAAAAAAAATGTATTTTATGTTAATATATGTACATATATATATACATATATGTTTTATTTCTCTGTATGAAAATTTATTTAAATCCATTATTTATAATTTCAAATAGGATTCATATCCAAATCATCTATCAAATTTTGTGTGTGTGTATGTGTCAGTAGATATAATTATATAAATCCTATCTGAAATTATAAATAGAGGATTTTAATAATTTTTTTCATAATTACATAATTTTGTGTTTCAGATTATGGATAACATGTTCTCCAAAAAAGCCTGGTGTAGACCCGTAGCACTTGCTTCATCTACTGGTCAATTAATAAAAAATACTAATGCAGAAGAATGTTCTCCAACTTGCTCAAATTTTTCTGAAGATGATTCTCGGTCTGATAAGGAAAATAATATTCCTAAGAAGAGTATGTCAAATATTAATGAATATATAGTGTGTATGTGTGTGAGTGTGTGTGTGCATGTGATTTTTACTTCAATTAAACAAAAATTTGTATATAAATTCTTGTAAAGGAATTAACTGTTTATATATTAGGTGTGGTAAAAAGAAATCCATTATTTTTCCAATAGATTTCATGCAAAAATAATGGATTTCTTTTTACTACACCTAATATGTATATAGTTTGTAATTGACATACAATTTTGTAGGTTGACCAGATTGTTTGGATTTTGCTTTTTAGTAATATATGAATGATTTATTCCAATTACACCTATTTTAATTCTGTATTTTATTTAGATGTTAAATATTTCCTTTTTTTTCAGGTATAAAAACTAAGATGTCAGTAACAAAACTGTTTGAAGAGAGATTGGCACAAAAACAGGAACATGAATGTAAAAAACAGAAACGTCACAACGAGAGAATGCTTTTAGAAACAAAAATGATTGATGCTCTTACACAATTCTTAAATAAGTAACATTTCTACTTCGTAATACTTATTTAAAAATACTACTTAATAGTTATTATAGATTCTAACAGAAAAATTATTAATATTTTCATTTTTTCTCTTAAAAATTTTCGATTAAAAATCTCTTAATTCTATATTTTTTATTAATTATAATTCTTTATTATTATATTTTTAAGGTATATATGAACTGAAAGTGATATATCTGTTAACTGTGATGTGAAAGATTTCAATAATAGTCCTACTTTTAGTACTCATTTCACAATATTATAATCTAGAGATGGGAAGTATAATGTGTTATAAGTTCAACATTTTGTATGGGAAGTATAATGTGTTACACACACATAAACACACAAGTTCAACATTTTGTATGCGAGGACGTAAGATGCGTTTCCGTTTTTCCTTTCTTAATAATTCCCATTCTTCAATTATACCAGAAGGTTCGCGGGTTATCGCCGTGTCTTTCTTCATTATTGATGCCAACGTTTCGTGAATCATGCCGTTCACTTTATCAGCATCAGCGCACCCCTTGCCCTGATAAAGTGAACGGCATGGTTCACGAAACGTTGGCATCAATAATGAAGAAAGACACGGCGATAACCCGCGAACCTTCTGGTATAATTGAAGAAAATACCCGTGAAAGCCTCAAAAGCATAATTCCCATTCTTCATCAGAACTTGAATCACTTTCCGAACTGATATCTTTCAACAATAATGTTACACAAACAGTATAATTAATGACTTAAATTGTTTTCTAAGTGAACTTTTTAGGTAAATTTCATATACTTTTGTCTGAACGTTTATGAACAATTGTAACGTTATAACCAAATTGTTTTCATAAAAGTAACGTTAATGCTAACGGTGCACTGAAAGAAGAATTACTTCCTATCTCTGCTATAACTGCTAGAATATATTTTTTTTATAGTTCAGAATATAATAGTTTATATTTATAGTTTAGAATGATCAATAAAGATTAATATTATTTTCACATTTTAAAGAACTAAGTATTTCTTATGTAAAGGATTGTTTTTAATTTTATATTGCTTATATTTAATTTATTCTTAGTTCACACTCTATATTTATAGTTATTATTAGATTTTTAAGATAACACAAAATATGGGTGATATATTTGTGCTGTGAATTTTGATCTCAGTTACTTATCTAGCAAATATCTTTATTACTTTATATACGATATAATATCTACATTTGTTTATTATGTTACTTTAGTTTTTGTACACAGTAATAATTACAAATATAATATATGTTTATACGAAGTTAAAGTTTAATTAAATTCTCTTTGTAACATATTCATAATCATGTTTCTTTTATAAACTCCATTATTATTTGCTTGCCTTTGATCAATATGATCTTGTGCTGAAGTATCTGAAGCTGATATTAACGGTATTATTTCGAGTTCATCTCTATTCAGTATACAAATATTGTGAATAACACAGCATGCAACTATATATTCAGCCATGAGATCAATTCTGGTCATAGGCAAGCAATGCAACAAACTTCTCAATCGTCCTTTTAATAAAGCAAAACACCTTTCAACTACTACTCGTGCAGAGGATTGACAAAAATTATAATGCTTTTGGGCAGCACTCAAATGTCCATTATCTTTATATGGTACTAGTAAATGTTCGTGTAATGCATAGGCAGAATCTCCTACTAAATGACTGTCTGATGGAAACTTTTCTTCATTATTCAGATATGTTGCCACTTCTGATTGTCTAAATATTCTCTGATCGTGCACAGAACCAGGATGACCCACATAACAATGAGTTATAAGTGCTTTATAATCACACACAACCTATAATAAGAAAAGAAATTGAAAATAAAACAAATTAACACATTTATTTAGCAGAACGTTTATTTAATTTTACAGGTAAAAGTATTCTGTGGTAAAATTAGACTATTTCTTTTGATATAAAACAAATATTTTCAAAATAAACATGGCTAATAAATAATGATAATATAATGTATTATATAACTAAAAAACTACTATTATAAATGGTTTTTTAAATACCTGAAGCTGAATAGAGTGATACCCTTTTCGGTTGATGTAATCTACTGCGTTTTCTTTAGGTGCTACTATTTGTATGTGCGTTCCATCTATAGCACCAATTGTGTTAGGGAACTTACTATTTTCTTTAAATTTATTTATTACTGCTTGTGCTTCTTCACCTGATGGCCATGATATAAATTGATGAGCTCTTTTAAACAGTGCTCGTGTTACCCTCCTAACAGCTCTCAAACCTGTAGCTCTTCCTACATTGAAGCGATCGCAGATAGATCTGTAAATATATAAAAAAAATTAAAAGTAAATGTAAATACTTGCATATTAAATGAAAAACATAATACACATAATATACAATATAATAAAAGTAATAATCGTACCTATACGAATCCATTGTAGCCATTTTCCACAAGGCAATAAAAAATTGTTTTCTCGGTGAAATTGTTTCACATCCTTTTGTCCTCCGCACAAGATCTTCCGAAATTATATATAATATATATTCAAACGTTGCTCGTTTCAATCTAAAAACAAGTTATATTTACTTTTATAATTTTATTATTATATATATTATTATATATTATATTATTATTAATATTATTCTCTAATATTATTGTATTTTATATGCAACAATAGCAACTACAAAAGTTACACAAATAATAGTCTTTTTTAGATAATGTAATAAGATAATCACAATATTTAAAATTTTTTTACATATAATATTCTTTTATATTTTTGTGATTATTTTTATTTTAATTCATAATTATAATATAAAATTCATTAATATGATCAAAATAAACTCCATCAAGATAAATATAATTTTAAAAAACAAGATATTACCTAAAATGACTTTTAAAGTCTTCGTTTGAATACATTTCAATTACAAGTTCCACATTTTGTATACGAGGACGTAAGATGCGTTTCCGTTTTTCCTTTCTTAATAAATCCCATTCTTCATCAGAACTCGAATCACTTTCCGAACTTATATCTTTCAACAATAATGTTGCACAAACAGCAATGTTTTCGACCATCTTCTTCTTCTTATTTAATTAACGCCTTCAAACAATGCAATAGGAGGTCGATACGGCCAGATCACGTCTACATTTTTTATTGCCTTGTGAAAAATGGCTACAAAACCGTACAAAAATATAAAAACGAACGGGTTATGCAATGCTCGCCTGCGTCTGCCTGCGTTTACGGCGTCGTCACATTGCAAAACGCGCATCATAAGCGTCATAACGCTCAAGATAATCGTTCCACTTACCTGTTACACTCACACTAGTGGCAACTAGTGGAACAGACGATTGCAGCGTTAAGAGCGTGAGCGTTGTGAACGTTAGGTGGAACGCACCCTAAATGGCCTGAAGTTTACGTAATGAATAATATTACTGCTTCAAGTACTATTGGAAAATGTCGTGAAATTTTTGCTAGATTCGGTATTCCACGAATGCTAGTTACAGATAATGGTAGAACATTCATATCGCAAGATTTTCAAAATTTTATTAAAGCAAATGGAATTATCCATAGGCTGACAGCTCCTTATCACCCGGTAACCAATGGTGCAGCGGAAAGATTCGTACAAACATTGAAACAATGGTTGCGTAAAACAAACTTAGAAAAAGAAAATGTAAAATGCAGCGTTCAAAAGTTTTTGTTTCATTACCGTATTACTCCATTTCCGGAATTAAAACAATCACCCGCCGAAATCATGTTCGGACGAAAATTGCGAAATCGGTTGGATTTATTATCTCCAAAAGAAATGGAAATAAAAAACAAACCAGTGGAGAGTAATGAAACAAGAAATTTCCAAGTAGGAAATAAAATCGCAGCACGTGAATATTTAAATAAAAAAGCAAAATGGCGTTTCGGTATAGTTTACAGGAAATTAGGAAAGTTACATTATTTAATAAGATTAGAGAATGGAAAAATCTGGAAAAGACACGTAAATCAATTACGTCTAAATGAACAAAACTCTGATAATAATAAATCGCAAGAGACGATGGATAGATTTAACTATTCAAATTCCGACTTAGAGAAGTCAGAAATTAAGTCGGGTGGAGAGAGACCGGGTACAGAGACAAATGATGAAGCCATAAGTAGCACCGTCCACATTTCGCCTGAGGAAGGGACAGGAGAGGATACATGCGAACAAATAGCCTTGCCTATCGAGGAAACTGATAAGCGCGCGGGGGAACTAGTTCGAAACGAACGTCCCAAACGAAATAGAAGGGAACCGGATCGGTACTCAGATTTTCTATACTCACATTAAAATAAAAATAAAAGGAACCTTATAAATAATTATTGTTTCAGATTAGTTTAGAGTTAAGATGGTATAATAGGGGTGATGAAGTTGAAATTAAGGTATGTGTTGCGTTTGAGTTATTGATTTGTTTTCTTGATACGTAAAATTAAGGAATTTCTGTAAAAAAAAAAGGGAAGAGCTGTTATGTATTCGGATTTATAAGACGCGCCATGTATAAGAGAGCAGTGCTTAGTTTGCGACATGTGGCGCTGAAGCAAGTGACGTGGTGTGCGTGTGTGTGCGTATGCTGCGCGGAGCAGCACTCCGTTTACCGGCTTGGAGCAGAAAGCATGTGTGTGTATACAGGAGAGTTAGATTTCTGAAATATAGTCAAGTCCGTAGTATATTACTTTATCGGCGTACTTATTGAATTCCTTGCTGAATTTGAACCCTGGAATAAATATAATACTTACACATATATGTATATTTATCCTTCTATTTATCATTGATGGAGGGGATGAATGCGACGCATGCGCACAACGTTCAAAGTACATTGAGAAAGAGAGAGAAGTAAATATACTTCGGGAATACCCGCACCGTGGTTCTGGGACATGGACTTCTCTCTCATCTAGCCATATAGTAGTATTACATATATGATTCAGAGTGTCGCTTTACCCATGATATAAACACAAGGGTATGCTCATCCGGTGGACGAATTTAGAAAGCCTTTGCGCATCACTCAGTTTACGTCACATTCGGCTACTTTCGGATGCTTTCGGAAGCTTTCGGACTCTGAGTGCCAATGAAATATGGGCTGCCGTATTTATGATATTCGTTAAAGCGGTAAAGTAAGCAAGAGTTTTTATTGAAAATAATGGCTGTTTGTGCAGTAAAAGTCTGCAATAATTATTATCGAAAAACGGTAAGAATGAAAGGAGAGGAAATAAAATATTTCAGGTTTCCTAAAGACCCTGAAATTGCTGCAAAATGGATCGAAATGTGCGAGGAAAATGTAAATTTAACGCATGGTAAGGTTGAAATATTGCATATTAACGCATAAACAAATTGATAGTGTAAATGTAAATAACTAATCTGGTTAGGTTAACTTTTTACAATCAAACAAAAATATCACGAAACTCTTGGTGAAAATTTGTCAGAATTTTTACATGAATTAAAACGCTTTCAGAAGTATTGAGAAAGAATACACTTTTTCTTATAATTTTTTATTATATGTGAATTCGTATAAACATTCGTATAAACAAATCTAGATTTTAAATTCTTTATTAAAAATATTTTTAAATTATATGAAAAATTTTCACCAAGAGCACTGACAATTTCATCGATTAATACTATTGTACAATTCCACCTTATTTATTTATGTATTTATTTATGCTGAAACAATAGAGGATAATAATAAGGGCAACTCTGAGAGTCAACGAAACATTACAAATTAAATTTTCCTGTATATAAAAATTTTGAATTTAATTAAATTTCGTATGCATACATGACATGTTTCGGCTCCTTGATTGAGCCTTCTTCAAATGTAATGATTATCAAAATTTCTTAATAAATATAGTCATTACTTGTATTATATATACACGTTATACTTATTATATTACATATTAGTTATTATATATACACATATACCTGCAATTGTTTTTTTATTCATTTCATCGTCCATTCCTCAAAAATAAGTTACAAAAGAATCTTAAATGATCATTATATGTATATATTTTTTTTGTAAAGAGAGCACAATGAAAGTTTTTTGCTAATTGCGTATTTCTACAATAAATAATGTGAATTGCTTTTCAAGAAAAGTATTAATTGTTACTAAAAGTGTAAAATCACCTTCCTTTATATAAATTATTTCACAATTTATATAATGGAAGATGATTTCTTTTTTATTTTTTGAAATTATTTGTGATACGATTAGAATAAATTATTTGAATTTTTTCGAGAAATCACGTTTTCAAAGTCAATCTTATTAGAAAATACCGTAATTCAATACTGTATGTAGAAGTACTAAGCAAATGCATTTTGAATTTGCCGCTTAATGTGACGTAGACTGAGTGACATTTCTGATTGGTTGTCTGGAACTATCATGCGCGTGAGCATACCCTTGTCTTTATACCATGGCTTTACCCATCTCTCCACTATTTCTCCCATCACTCACTCGGGAATGTTTACCACTGCACGTACGAGCACCATCGCAGTTGCAATGAAAAGACTATAAATGTGATACATTAACACCTAATACATGTGAATCTAAATACAGTTATCAGAAAGAAATTACATTATTATATTTTTTATATTAATACTGTATTTCATAAAATCATATTTTCTAAAATGACTGGTCGTTCTGCACCAGACTGCAATAATTCTGCAATGAAGGGTTATATTATGAAAGTTTCCTCGTAATTCTGAAAAAAGAGCAAAATGCGCAGCGAATGTAGGTCGACTTAAATTTGATGCCATGACTATTTCCGGTTTTTGCTGAAAAATGGTATCACCGACCTAACCTTATTGACGTTATTTCGCGACTCTGATTAGAGGGTCTCTAATTGCGCATAATGGCGGAGATCCGAAATCTCAACCAATCAGAGATTCGGTAATTTGTCCGGCGCGAGTACGAAGTTCATAAAGTAAAATAAACATGAAAAAATATCTCTATAAATAACATTATATTCCCTCTGAATTATCTTTCTTTTTTTATGCATTTGAGGAAAAAAGGTTTACATATAAGGAAACTTGTAAAGAACTTGTTCTATTCAATAATACATTTTCCAGGAAAAACAGGATGTCTACGGATTTGATCGGAGAAAATTCATTGACATTCCCTGATTGTAAAAAAGTTCCTTGACTTTTTCGTCTTTTTTTAGTCCTTTCCTTTCCTATTTCTTTTCATAATTATTAGAGAATCTTTTCCAAGACAAAATGAATACTAAGTAAATATAATATTAATTAAGAACTTATATGTAATACAGTGATCTTCATTAGAATAAAAAATTTAGGAAATATAATGTTTTTTATAGTCGATAATATTCACACTGAACGTGTTTTTGAAGTATGTTTACAGGCTTCCAGCCACTGCTTCCTCAGTTCCGGCTTTTTGGGGAAAGAAAACATATTTATTTTCTCTTTACCGCGACCACACTCTTATTTCTACAATTGATGATAACACAGTACGTCGGCATAATGCAATCGAAATTGTCATATATACACACAAAATATCTTGACTGTGTGCTTACAACATTAATGTTTATATCATACGACGATGCGACTGTTCCGTTGGCCATAATTAGAGACCCTCTAACAGAGACTGGCCATCAGGGGGCCACTTTTGATTGGTCCGCCATTTCCTAGCGATTCCCGCTCGTATTGAAATTTCAATTACTGCATTTACTTGGAATGTAAATAGTATGTAATGATAAATATTATAGAAATATTAAAACCGTGCTTTTTACATCAATATAAATAATATACGTTAAATAAAAAAAAACATGTCAAGTTTTATCGTCAGTTATATACATCTTTATCTTTAAATAACTTTGTTATAATAGCTGTTTTTTGACATTTATGATTTAATTTTTGACTTTGTTATTAAATTTTAAACATTGACTCTTATATTGTCTTCGTTCTTTTTGTTTATACGTTAAATAATTTCTATATTTAATATTCTCTCTTTCTTAATTCCATTAAATCTTTTTCAAATAAAATTAAAGTAAGATTAGGAAATTAGTGACAAAAGTACAAACACTTAACATTTGTAAAATTTATTTAAAAAAGGTGTGTACCAACGATTTACTGTCATATCTTCTATTAATATTAGTATTTTTCTTACTTAATGTTCTTAATTTGAATACGACAAACTTTCTAATAATT